ATTCCTCACATCTACAGGGAGCTAGGGCTAAGTGCCAAACTGGGGGATGATGAGGGAGGGATAGAGGACAGCTGGCCCAAGAGGGGCCTCAGAATCAGGACTCAGACTTTACTTCTTGTTTTGTTCTATCCACTCCCTCCTTTCTACACTATTGGTTAAAATCCAATAGAGGTACATGAGGTTGAGCAATAGTTGAGGGACCCTGAAGCAAACTACTTAACCCTTTTACATTTTAGTGACTTGTCTATAAAATGGAGAAAGCAACAGGGTCATTGTGAAAATTAAAATTGTACTACTTGTCATAACACATACGTCATATATTCTTTTCTGTGTCTTGCCTTCTGCTCTGTGAGGTCTTGGGCCCAGTTGAGAATGGTTCATCTTTGAGTTCAGATAAGGTGACTGTGATAAAGAAGATAAAAGTTAACTATTTTATTGAGTACTAAAATAGGTGCTTGGCAGATGCGGAGATGTCCTCACATTTATCTTAGATATTATCTCCATGTTGCAAATGAGGGCAAAGTTAGATAATCTGTTCTGAGGTTACCGCAATAATGAGGGGGCGAGGCAGAATTCTACCCAGGTGCCCCTGACTAAGTAGCCACTGTCCACTCATTGGGTGAGAAGTGTCCAGGGAAGAGTGCATTAGTTTATGAGCATGATCATGTTCCCCTTTTCTGCTTTTAAGAATGATGGTTAGAAGTAGAAAATTTCATCTCTGCAGAGAGCAGATATAGAGGGGATGAAATTTAGGATAAAATGTGGTTGATATGATTCTTTTCAGGGCTCTTGTCCCCAGTGGATAGAGGAGAGATTGAGGCCCAGGAGTTTTAGAAGCCTGACTAGAGTCAGAGTTGGCTCCAGCGTCCTTCTAAAGAGAACAGCAGGTCAAATTCTGCCAATTTGACATGTAAGGAAACTGTTTTAGAGGGAAGAGTTACTTGCCCAGGGTCACTTGGCAGAGGAGCCAGTGCCTGAACTCAGGCTCCTAACGCCCAGCCATGTACTCTTCCTGGTGCCCCAGGCTGATGACCAGGTAGAGACGAAGACCTATGAAAATCTCTGGGGAAAGTTGGCTGGGTGTCTTGCAACTTTTTATCCCCGTGGTTCCACTCCAAAGCTAGTCTGGGATTTTGTATCTAGAAGAAAGAGTGACAGCCAATTGCCAAGAAACCTGGGTTCTGGTCCTAGCCTGAAGCTGGCATGCGTGGTGGGCACTTAGCAAACCTCTGTTAGAGCAAATTGTGTCTCCATTGTAGAGGTGATACTCAGAGAATGTATGAGACTTACCCAGAGTAACAAAGTATGTTAGAGTTGGAGTCATCCTTGGAAGGAGCCCACCATGAATCAAGCTGTTATTGACTTTTGTTTTAGAGGGAGAATCAGGAACACATTATCTTTTTTGCTTTCCATCTTTTCCATTTCCTTATGTTCATATGCTGGGGGTAGCATAAGATCAGCTCAGGAGTTCCTTTTCCTGGCACTTTCTGCTCCTTCTCACCTTCTCTTTCCCTGGCAACTTTTGGACTTTTATACTTAAGCCTGGAATCATTCTCTCCATCAGCACCTTTCTCCTACCCCACCCTCCCAAAGAATCTCCAATCTTACTTCCTTCAGCAAATATTTCCATATCCAGACTCTTTTATTATCACTGATTATAGTAGCTTAAATAATGGCCACTCAGTGATGGAAGAGGGAAGACACAGGGCAGGAAATGACTGCCAGTAGAACCCTTCTCCTAGTTCCAGATCCTTAATAAAAGAGAAAGATATCAGGTTCTAATCCCTGGAAGCTGTAAATGCTACTTTATTTGAAAAACAAAACCGATTTTGCAGCTGTGATTAAGTTAAAATTTTGAGTGGGATTAGGTCATTTTGGATTATCTAGGTGGGTCCTAAATTCCATCAAAACTAGCCTTTTAAGGGTGAAGAAGACATACAGAGAAGGTGAGGTGAAGACAGAGGCAGATTATTTAATTTCACTCACATGAAGTGCCTGCCATGTGTTGGAATAGTCAAAATTCATAGAGTTGGAAAGCAGAATAGTGGTTTCCAGGTGTCGGGAGGAGTGGGCATGGGGAGTTACAGTTTAATGGATACAGAGTTTCAGTTTGGGGTGATCAAAAAGTTGAGGTAGATGGTTGTGATGGTTGTACAACAATATGAAGGTACTTAATGCTACTGAATTGCACAATAAAAATGATTATGATGGTAAATTTAATGTTATGTGAATTTTAATACACACACACACACACACACATACACACAGGCACAGGGTTATAGCATTGTGACATAAGACAAAGAATGCCAACAGTCACTAGTAGCTGGAAGAGGTAAGGAAGGGTCCTCTTCTTGAATCTCAGGCATGTGGCCCTGCTGACACCTTGATTTCAGCCCAGAGAAACTGATTTCAGATTTAGCCTTCTACCTTCTAGGACTATGAGAAAATAAATCTCTGTTGTTTTAAGTCACTGAGTTTATGGTAATGTGTTACAGGAGCCAAGAAATAAATACACTGATCATCAGCCTGTTTTTCTGGGCTTTCTGTACCTGAGTCACAATGAGAAAAAAGCATGGGACAAGAATGTTACAGTGTCTTTCTAGATCCTTTACTTTTGCCAGGGCCTCACAGTGAGGATCCCTTATACCCATCATTCAAAACAGTCCTTGCTCCCTACACAGATGTTCAAAGAGAGGGTCATAGATTTCAAGTGAGCTGTCCATGGTCTGTCTTGGCTGGTGGCTGAGCTGAGATTCAAACTAGCCATGTGAGTCCCTTTCTCAGCTCCTACTTCCCCAAACCTAGTGTCTTTTGATTTCATTACGTGATGAGTGCATTGTTTCATGGCCATTCCATCATGGGATCTCTTTCCAGGGGCACAGTTCAGCCAATGAGAAGTAGACACTGTATATTTTGGGCCTGCTGAGGAGGAGCTTTTAGGCTGTGAGGAAAGGGTAGAGACTGCCTGACATAGATCCAAGTGAAAAAGGTTTGATGAATGAGTGAATGAAAATAGATGAAAGGCAAGTTGCTCTACAGTGCAGTTGACAGCTTAGCTCTGACTTGGAAAGCATCTACAGCAGAAGGTCTCTGCTTCATCTTCCCCTGAAGCTCTTTTTGGGTGAGCATTATGCTGGGCTTTGGACACAGACTTACGTAGCTTGCAGTCCTGGGGAACAGATGGGGGAAGTGGAGGGAGTTACATAGATGCTGTCTAAATAATGATTCTCTGACTGCAGCCTCAGTGGAAAGAAGAAGTGCTGTTGAGGGAGAATGGAAAGCAGACCTCTGAGGTAGAGAGGGGCAAAGGAATAGCCCGCTCACATTTGGGAGTGGATGGTTATTATCTGGGGGACAAGAAGGGCTCTGTGAAGAACAGAGTGCTGACAGGATTTATATGGTTCTTCTCCTCCTTTCATTTCCTCATTAGAGCAAGACTGTCCTCTCCCAAAGAGCTAAGTGGCCTTTGGGGCCAGCCCCTGAGAACATCTTCCTAACCCTCCCTCTGAACTAGTCCTGCCCTAGCCTGAGTGGTAGGGCCTGAGTTGCCACTGGCTCACTGTGTGACCCTGGAACATCACATCTCCTCTCTCTTGGACATCTCCCTTCTGAACCTGGGCTTGTGGCTTAGACTTTTGTTTCCAGATGGGCAGACTAAGTCCTAAGGAAGGGCTATGGTTAGACAGGTTTCTTGCAAGGGGTTCTCTAGTGTCTTCCCTTCTATGTGCTTTAGAAGGGCCCCAAAGCACATTACAGTTGTCCCTCAGTATCTGAGGGGAATTAGTTCCAAGATCCCCTTCGGGTACCAAAATCTGCAGATGTTCAAATCCTTTATTAAAAAATGGCATAGCATCTGCAAATAACTTATGCACACCCTCCTGTATACTTTAAATCATCTCTACATTGCTTATAATACCTGTAGTACTTCGATTCATGAACTTAATTCTTTCCTTGATTCTGGTCACAGAATTCATTCCACAATTCTGTTTGTAACCAAATTGCAAGTGTAATAGTGGAAAGAATTAAGTTCATGAACTGAGGTACCACTGTATAAATAAATGCTATGTATTATGTAATAATATGCAAATACTATGTAAATAATTATATCATTTTAGGGAATGATGATAAGAAAAATGTCTACACGTTTAGTGTAGCTGCAATTTTTATTCCTCCCAAAATTTTCCAGCTGTTGTTGGTTGAATCCTCTGAATGCAGAACCCACAGAAACTGAAGAGGGAGGACAGGTCAGGAGATGACTCCCAGCAGGACCCTTCTCCTCGTCTCAGTTTCTTTCTCTTCTGGTGTGATAGCAGAGCGCCTGGGGGCTGTGGGCAGTGGAGAAGTCAGGAATACAGGAAAGCGAATGGCCATGCCTGTGGCAAACAGATTATGATTGCGCCGGATTTTTCCCAGCAACATCCAGCAGCTTCCATCTAAGGACGTTCTCTGCGGAAAACAACTTGGCTGGTTTCTCAGAAAAGTCTTACACCCATTTCATGCAGGGAGAAGTCAGACCCACAGGGTCGGTGGGACTGGCACAAGGTCAGGTGGCCGGTGACCTGCAGCCTCCCGGCTCCTGGCCCCAGGAGACCTCGTGCCTTTGCCGAGTTACTGCTGCTCTGCCTCGGTGGAGGCCCATGGCCCTGCAGGCGTGGCAGCCAGGCAGGTGCCCGCTGCGGGAGCACAGAGGGCCTTTGTGCCAAACGGGAACCACCCCTGGCCGGCCCCTCCCCGCTCCCAGGACAGACTACCTGCGCGGCGTGCCACCACCAGCGCAGTTCCCCGCGCTCGCTCGCCCTTCAGAGCTACGAGCCCAGCGGCGCTCCCCGACGGTGCGGCGCAGGACAGCGCAGCGCAGCGCAGGGACCCGGTGCAACTGCCCCGCTGCCCCACCGTTGCGGGTCAACCTCCCTCAGGGAGGGCTAGGGTTTGATTATTAACCCGGAGAGTGCATAAGGAGTGAGCGGCCTCGGGGACAGGACGGACTCAACGCCTTCGCCATGGACAGTACCACCTGGAGCCCGCCAGCCACCTCCGCTGCACCTCTCCCGTCCTACGAGCGCATCAACAATGCCGCTGACATCTCCGTCATTGTTATTTACTTTGTGGTGGTGATGGCCGTTGGAGTGTGGGTATGTGAAGGTGCTGGGAAGTGGGCTGAAGGGGCAGGGGCCATCGAATGGGGTGAGAGAGGGCACACAGAGAATCGATGGCTGAGCTGCAAGGGGGAAGTGGGCTCGCAGATGTGTGGAGGGGAGAGGAAATGCCTGGAAACGCTTTAGAGGAATTCAGAGGCATGGTGTGAGGTGGGGGCAAGCGAGGGTGAGCAGACGTTAGAGGGGAGCCCCGGGGAGCTGGCCAGGAAGGCCCAAGGAGGATCCTGGAGCCGTGAGCAGAGAAGGAAGGCAGAGGATGGCAGACTAGGGGAGAGCGCAAGGGACAGGAAGGCGGCAACTTGGAGCCTACAGGGAGGGTCTTCTGGGAGGTGACTACTGTCCTGCCTCTTAGTTATCGGTTTCCAATGGGAACATTGTCGAGTGGGAAAGCTACAGCTTCTGCCCGCAGGCGGAGTTGCGGGCGGGGGGGGGGGGGGGGGGGCGCTGGCTGACCTGGTTTTCCCAGGGACTGGAGGGAGTTAGAGGTGGAAAGCTGGGTAGAGCAGGAGGAGGAGGAAGACCAGAGGGTGGCCTGGTGTCCGGGAGAAGGAAGTGCATGTGTCTTTCCTTGGGACTCTGGGTACACACCAAACCAGAGAAACTTGTTCTCTGCAGCCTGGAACTTGGAAAGGTCATTTAAAACAGACTCAGGCACACCCACCAACTAGAAGAGGTGTATTAAAAGTGTGCAAATAGTCCAGCCATTTTTAAGTGACAGGCAGAAAGAGTCTGGCATGCCGGCAGGTGGTGGTGACACTCTTGAGTTAGAGGAGAGGTGCATGGCTGTGAATGCTTCCACGGGTGCTCAGTTTTTTCAGGGATTTAAGAAAATGTAAATTAGGAAAGAAAGAAGTTGTGGAAACCAGATGTGGCAGGAAGATTCCCCAAGTGTCACATAGGGTCAGCATTGCCGACTCTTCCTCAATAGTCTCAGCTTCCCCAAAAATGTCCACCTAGGAGCCAGAATACTCAAGTTTAGTATTGGCTTTCACATGGTTCGAACTAAAAGATGTAGGATAACTTCCCACAGCTTCAGTTTACCCAAGTATAAAAATAGGTACAGCTGTATCTATTCTTATGACTCTGCAAGGATATTGTGAGGTTCTGCACAGATGAATGTGAAAGCTGTTTACGGACTCTAAGAATTAAAAAAAAAAAAAGATGTACTATCATCATTTTTCCTATAGGGTATGATCCAGGTCCTCAATAATTTTACTTAAAGTGGAATGTGTAAAATGATGGGTAGTTCTTCTTCACAAAAGCCACAACACCAGGAAGACAGGAATACCGCGCCCCATTTTGCAGAAGAGGAAATCAAAGCCCTGTGAAGTTGTGATTTGCCTAGGGTTTTGCAATATATAGGATTGTTCCTGAAACGCAGGTGTCTTAACTCTGGGCTTTCCTTAGTACTAGGGACTCTGCCACTGTACCTGCCTTCTTTGCTCCCACCCTGTCTCGCTTTTTATGTTCTGGAGCCAAGATGTGAGTCGATCATTCTGCTAGCCCTCCTCTACTGCTCAATTTTCTGGATGATCACTGATTATCTTGGTTTTCTTAACCAATCTCACTTTATTCCTACCAGTCCTGAAGATATTTACACTTAAAAAAAAAAGATGTTTGTGCTTTTGAAATGGCTGTGAATCAGAACCACTTGTCCTGTTAAACAGTACTTAATGATCCTGCTAGTGTTTGTCTACATTTAATCTTCCCCCATTAGTCAGTGCCTCTGGACTCTTTAACATGCTGGATTCCTTCCAGTCAATGACTCTTTTAGCTATTGAAGTGTCAAGAGTGGCTTGATTTAGAGATGGACATTCTGACTCTTACATGATTTCTGGGCCGAATAGATGGAAGGGTCCAGGACCATTGCATTTCCTCAACTTAGAAAGACTGCCCATAGCCAATGTCCCTCTGTCACCATTCCCATCTCTTCCAGTATCAATTGGTTCTGTATTATATTCTTCCAGCTTGATCTCATTCAATCATATTAGGGCTTTGAATTATAACTTCTTTGGTATTTGTTTTCATTCTTCTTTCACCATCTCTCAGTTTGGAATCTCTCTTTGGGAGATTTTATATCCTTTTAAATTGAATCTTTGAACTTATTCTTGGTGGGAGATTTCATTAAACTATCCTGTAATCCCTTTAAGCCAAGGATTGTTAAAAATTATGGCCTGTGGGCCAAATCTGACCAGAGCATGTTTTGGACAGCCCACAAGTGAGGAATGGTTTTTACACCTTTAAAGGGTTGTGAAAATAAAACAGGACAAAACAAAATAAAAGAACATGTGTCAGAGACTGTATGTATCCCACAAAACCTAAACTGTTTATCATCAGGCCCTTGTTCTTTAAAAATATAACTGTATCTTCTGCAATTATTAAGACCCTTATCTTATGCAGTCATTTGAACCAGTGGCATAACTGATCTAAATTGGAATGGGCTCTGGTGAGCTCAACCTTCCTATTTTACAGAGGAGGATCAGAGAGGGTGACCAGAAATCATTCAGTGCCAGAACTACAATTATTTATTTATTTATTTATTTA